ACGCACACGCACACGCACGCACACACATACACACACACACACACACACACACACACACACACACACACACACACACACACACACACACACACACACACACACACACACACACACACACACACACACACACGTGCATACACATCTATATACACATATACTGTATATATGCATGTATATGTGTGCATATATACATTCACATGTACATGAATTGAAAGAAAATTGTTTTTGTTTCATTGTGAGGTTACAGCAAGAACGGTACCAAATAACACACTGTATCTCATAACATGAATATATTTACACGCCTGGGAAAGAGTATATAGTTGAGGGCGCAAAATACACCTTCATATGTGGCATAAAAATTCTCGTAACGTGTGTGAGAGTATGTCTTTTAACAGAACTTTATAACAGTGTTCTAGTAGGTGATACTATTTTTTTCTATTTTATTGTTATTATTTTTTTGGATTCGTTTCAGACCTGCATTGAAATCCCAAGCCAATTGCACGGCATAAAGTCTCAATTTTTTTTTTACCTGTGAAAATTCGTCATTTCGCAGTCTCGTCATTTCTCGCAAAGTCTCGGTTATTTTCCCGAAAAAAGGTTCTTGTTCAGTCTTGTTATTTCTCGAAATTCATTTTTCTACGTAGCATCTTTTTAAAATTATTATCATTATCATTCATGGTCATTTAAGGTCATTATTAATATCATCACTATCATCGTTGGCGTCATCAATACTATCGCCATTATTATCATTATTATCAATGTTGCTTTTAATCACTTTTTTTTTTTTTTTTTTTTTTTTATTTATTTTGTTTTATTTTTTAAGGCTTAAGTAATTTTAAAGGTTCGACTTAAAGTAGAAGATTAGAAACTTTTGTTCACGATTTGTACGCGTGGGAAAGAAATCTTGAAATTAAATGGGTGAAACAATGGTTGGAAAATACGAAACCGTTACGTTTCGAGTAAGACTGGACTTGACTCTCTCTCTCTCTCTCTCTGTCTGTCTGTCTGTTTGTCTGTCTCTCTGTCTTTTAGTCTCTCTCTCTCTCTCTCTCTCTCTCTCTCTCTCTCTCTTTCTCTCTCCTTCCTTCCACCTCTCTCTCTCTCTTTCTTTCTCTCTCCTTCCTTCCACCTCTCTCTCTCTCTCTCTTTCTCTCTCTCCACCCCTCTCTCTCTCTCTCTCTCTCTCTCTCTCTCTCTCTCTCTCTCTCTCTCTCTCTCTCTCTCTCTCTCCGTCTCTCTCTCTCTCTCTCTCTCCGTCTCTCTCTCTCTCTCTCTCTCTCTCTCTCTACCTCTCCCTCTCCCTCCCTCCACCTCTCCCTCCCTCTCCTTCTCCCTCTCCCTCTCCCCCTTCCTCCCCTTTCTCTCCCGGTCTCTCCCTCTCCCTCTTCATCTCCATCTCCATCTCACCAGACGTTACTGCGCTACCGACTCCTTGGACGCGAAAATGTCACGTCCAAGCAATAGATGGCGCGCGTGAGTACCTTGAACATGAACTTGCTGTTTCAATTGTGTTTCCAGTCCACGTCATCATTACGTCATTATTGCGATTATTATTTTCCCTTATATCGCCTTGACTCCATTCCCAGGGTGACTGTTGTTGGAATTTACTGACATTAATTAATCCTTAGGAGGGAGGATTTTATGGGGGGGGGGGGGTCCAGCTGTGTGATTTCTTTTGTTAATTGCGTTATTTTTTTTTATTTTATGTCAAATTTTACGTCAATTTGTAATAGTTTTGTAATAAATGTGTATTTATTTCCCTTTTTTCAGAAGGCTATGGTTATGAACTATGAAGAGGATATTGGGAAATGATTTAAAATTTGATTTTCAGTGAAAAAAAACACGATAATAAATAGTTGTACTGTAAATTTACGCGTTTTTTAAATTCTAATTAGTGTTATTGTTTTGAGAACTGGAGCATGTGATTTGCAAATGAGAAATACGTAACAAGAAAAAGAAAAGAATAAACAGTGGAAAGAAAACAAAATAATTTACTCTAAAATAGACGCAATATTTATTTTTTAAAAATGAAGAAAAAATAAAATGAAAGGTTGTAGAAATGCGCGAAGGGAGAGAGACAGCCGGTGGAGAATAGTGCATAAGAGAACTGTAGATAATAAATAAGAATATAAATAAATAAGTGAACTTCTTAAAGAAAAATAATACAAAAATATACGTGACTTTAACACAAAATATATAAAAAAAATACCAATCTCCCTTCAATATAGTGAGGGTAACGTGCCCAAAGGCAAACATGCAAATCGAAAATATAAGCCAATGATATAATCTTAGTGTAAATAGATCATTTAGAAAAAAAATAAAAAATAAAAAATAGCCAAGACGATGAGGGTGACGAATGCCATCATCTGGACAATCTGCATCAGCATCATCGTCTTCATCTGCGTCTTGTGGTTCGTCATCTGCTATATAGGCCTATGCAAACTGCGAAGGAAGAAGAAGAAGGAACTGCTGCCGGTTTTCACACTCCATGGGCATCAAGGTAGGCCTACTGTCCAGGTGGTGGTGGTGTGGGTGGTGGTGAGGAGAGGGGAGGGGGAGGAGAGGGGAGAAAGGGAAGGGAAGAGGGAGGGGAGAGAAGGGAAAGGCAGAGAAAGGGGGGAAGGGAGAGGGAAGGGTGAGGGGAGAGAAGGGAAAGGGAGAGGGGAGGGGAGAAAAGGGGAAGGCAGAGAGGAGTGGAAGGGAGAGGGAAGGGGGAGGGGAGAGAAGGGAAATAGAAGGGAAGGGAGAGGGCAGAGAAGGGGTAAGGAGAAGAGGGGGAAATAGAGGGGAAGGGAAGGGTGAGGGAGGAATGGGGAGGAGATAGGGGAAGGGGAAGGGAGGGTGTGTGTGTGATGTTGGGTAGGTGAGAGAGAGAGAGAGAGAGAAAGAGAGAGAGAGAGAGAAAGAGAGAGAGAGAGAGAGAGAGAGAGAGAGAGAAAGAGAATGAATGTGAGTGAGTGTATGTTATGTGTATGCGTGCGTGCGTGCGTGCATGTATATTTGGTATGTCTAACACGAATGTAATGCGGTTAAACCTCCGCTTGCTCCGATGATGCCAGCAGGATGTCGAATATTTTCCTAGTAGATTAAATGTTCCTTGTTTTCTTTGATTGTTTCTCATAATCGCCTCGTGACCTCGCCCGTCTCTTCCCAGGGCGTGCTGGGTCAAAGGTCAAGCAGGGGGGGGATGATGCAATTCGAAGGTGTCAAGGTGGAAGTGTCAGGGTGAAGGAATATTACTTGGCTTGGCGTCGTTTATTGACAGCACGAACGGGAGATGTTGGAAGGAGGGAGGAGGAGTGGGGAGGAGGAGGAGGAGGTGGTGGTGGTGGAGGGAGGAGGAGGAGGAGGAGGTGGAAGGGAGGTGGAGGAGGAGGGGGTAGGAGAAGGAGAAGAAGAACAAGAACAAGAACAAGAACAAGAAGAAAAAGAAAAAAGGAGCGGGATTACAACGGTATTAACAACAACAACAATAACAATGATAATAATAATAATAATAATAATAATAGTAATAATGATAATGATAATGATAATAATGAGGAGGAGAAGGAGAAGATGATGATCAATCAAGCTAGTAAGGAAAAAAGTAGAGGACATACGATCCATTACTGCCAAAGGTAATCACTCATGTTTACATAAACATTTTCATAGACGACCCCCCAAAAAATCGTTTTGGTCTCCAACGGCATAAACCATGGCCACTTCCCCTACCCTTTCTCATGGCCATATGTACTCTCCTGCTCCTACCATTTCCTCTACCATTGCTTTCTACCATTTCCCTTGTCCCTACCATTAACTCTCATTAACTATTGCATTTTACCATTATCCAGGCCCCTACTGTTGTCCTGTAGAAGATAATGGTAAGGACCTGGGGAAAGGTAGAACATTTTCCCAGCCCCTACCATTAACGTCTACCATTTCCCCAGCGAGAGAAACGGTAGAAGTTAATGATAGGCACCCGGGGAATGGGTCCTACCATTACATTCTACCATCTCCCCTGTCCCTACCATTGCCTTCTCCCATTTCCCTGGTTCCTACCATTAAATCCCCATCCCCCCCCCTCTACCTCTACCTCTACCATGCAATTATATATTCCGTTTTCTGCTTCTCTCATTCAATGTCTTCCTCTCTTATCTTCTCCTCTGCTTTCTACTATTTCTGTTTCTTCTCTCTCCCATTGTATGTCCCATTTCATCCTCTGCCCCATTCCTGCTTCTGCTGCTACACTTACTCATATCTACCCCCCCCCCCTCGCCTCTGCTGCTGGTCACTCCTCTTCCTGGTTTCCTCCTTCATCTCTTCCTTCTCTTCCTCCTCCTCCTCTTCCTCCTCCTTCTCTTCCTCCTCTTTCTCTTCCTCTTCCTCTTCCCCCCTCCTCCTTCTCTTCCTTCTCTTCCTTCTCTTCCTCCTCCTCTTCCTTCTCTTCCTCTTCCTCCTCTTCCGTCTCTTCCTCTTCCTCCTCCTCCTCCTCCTCCGTTAAAGCCCCTGTCCATAGATATCCCCCTCCCCCCTACCCCTATCTTTATCTACCCCCGCCTTCCATGGGTGCAGCCAAGCGAAAGGGGAACAAAAGAAAAAAAGAAATAAAAAATGGAAAAAAAGGAAGAGAGAAAATCGACGAATTTGAATTGGATCTCCATACAAATGGCGCTCATGCCAGCTCGCTCGGTGGACGTTGTAAGCAGTGAAGTGAAGCGCTCGGGGAAGGAGGTGGAGGGGAAGGAGGGGGGAGGGGGGAGGGAAGGGAAGGGAGGAGGGAAGGAGGGGAGGGGGAAGGGGAGGAAAGGAGAGAGAGGTTAGGGGTAATATTTAGATTTTTTTTTCTATATTCACCTCTATCACTTCCTCTTCCTCCTCCTCTTCCTCCCCCCTCCACCTCTCCCTCCTCCTCCACCTCTCCCTCTCCGTCTCCTCCCTCTCCTTCTTCCTTTCCCTCCACCTCCCCTTCCTCCTCCTCCTCCCTCTCCGTGCATCCAAGCGAAAGGGGAACAAAAGAAAAAAAAAAGAAATAAAAAATGGAAAAAAAGGAAGAGAGAAAATCGACGAGAAGCAAAGTATTTGAATTGGATCTCCATACAAATGGCGCTCATGCCAGCTCGCTCGGTGGACGTTGTAAGCAGTGAAGTGAAGCGCTCGGGAAAGGAGGGGGAGGGGAAGGAAGGGGGGGAGGGTGAAGGGGAGGAAAGGAGAGAGAGGTTAGGGGTAATATTTAGATTTTTTTCTCTATATTCACCTCTATCACCTCCTCTTCCTCCACCTCTTCCACCCCCCCCCCTATCCGTCTCCTCGCTTCCTTCTCCCTTTCCCTCCACCTCACCCTCTCCCCCTCCTCCTCCTTCTCCTCCACCTCCACCTCCTCCCCTCCTCCTCCTCCTCCTCCTCCCTCCACCTCCTCCTCCTCCACCTCCCCCTCCTCCTCCTCTCACGGATCACTGCCTTTACGTCCCGAGCGAAGAAGCAGCGTAAGATAGCGCCTTTTAACAGCCTCTTCGCCGGCGCCCCGAAGATGCTGTTACTTGCTGTCTACGGGAGATGAGATGCTGAGATAAGGCGGGACGTTATTTGTGGGTCATTTGCATATTTCGTTTTCGTTTTTTTTTTTTTTGTGTGTGTGTGTGTGTGTGTGTGTGTATCTATAGGTGCATTGGCGGAAGGCATTTTTGTGCATTAGATTAATATGCGATTTTTTTTTTTCTTTTTTTCAAGGATTAATTTTGTTTGTAATATTCTGTTTATTCATATATTATTAAGTAAACACCTCCCCCTTTCTATCAATCGCACTCCCCTCCTACTCTCCCCCATCAATCGCAACCCCCCACCCCGAAGCGTGAAGGTGTGCGTGGCGTGGGCGTGGAGGCATCGTGGGCGCCTCTGTGCACGCCCTTGCTCGCCCGATAATCATCGAGGTTGTGGCGATAGAAGCCTCTCCTTCCCTTCCACGCTTCTCTTCCCCTCTCCTCTCCTTCCTTTCTTCCCCTCTCCTCTCCTCCTTTTCTTCCCCTTTTCCCTTCCCCTTTCCTCCTCTCCTCCCCCCCCTCTCTCTCCCTTTTCGCTTCCCCTTTCCTCCTCTCCTCCCCTCCCTCTCTCTCTCTCCCTTTTCGCTTCCCCTGTCCCCCCTACCCTCTCCGTAATTCTCTCACCTTCCTCCCTCCCCTCCCTCTCTCCCTTTTCCCCTCCCCTCCCTCTCCCCTCCACCTTCCCCCTCTCCTAACTTCGCATGTAAAGCTACATTTTCTTTATATCTTTCCCCCCCCCCCATCTTCCTCTCTCTCTCTCTCTCTCTCTCTCTCTCTCTCTCTCTCTCTCTCTCTCTCTCTCTCTCTCTCTCTCTCTCTCTCTCTCCTCCCTATGTCCCCTCTGCCTCCTCCTCTTCCCCCTACTTCTCTCCCTTTTTACCCTCCCTTTCCCCTCCCCCTGCATCCCCCCCCCTTCTGTTTCTCCCCTCCCCCCTTACATTCCCTATTCCTCCCCTCCCCCCCTTTCCTTCCCTCCCCTTCCCCCTGCATTCCTTCTCTACTCCCCCCCTCCCCCCGCACGCCCCCTTCCTCCCTCCGACTTAACCCGGATGCATTTAGCTGCCGTGGTGGGGGGTGGGGTGGGGGGGATGGGGGAGAGGGAGAGAGAGAGGGGGGGGGGTTAAACGGTCACTCTGATTTAGATAAAAAAAAAAAAATATATATATATATATGGGAGGCGAGGTGGGTGGCGAAGTCTTTTATTCATATTTTTATTTTTTTAAGGAACAAAGGATAGATTTTTTTATGATTTTTTTTTTTTTTTTTTTTTTTTTATCTAATGGAAAGGTTGAAGGAATATGAAAGGAGAGAAAGAGAGGGAGAGAAAAAAATGAATAAATATAGGAGATAAAGTTAAAGGATGGTTGGGTAGTTCGGTAATTACAGAGAAATTATTAATTGGAAAAAAAATCTGATGGTTGATGGAACAGGAAAAAAGGGAAATTGGTTGATAAAAAAAGAAAAATAAAGAGGAGGATTGGGTAAACGGATAATAGGAAGAGGAAGAAAGGAAGCTAGTAATAAGGATAATGGCAGTAATGATAATTATAATGATGATAATGATAAATGACATTCATGATAGTGATTATTATCATAATATCGTTACTAATGATTATGATCATAAGATGGTAAAATGAGACTAAGACTAATATCAATAATGAAAATACCATTAGGGTAATTAGTAACAATCATAATGATAACGATGATGATAATGATAATGAGGATAGTAATAATATTGATGATAATGGTGATGATGATAATAAAAGTGATACTACTACTAATAATAATAATTATGATGCTGATAGCCATTCCAAATTACAATAATTAGGAAAATGTATAAGAGAGAGAGAGAGAGAGAGAGAGAGAGAGAGAGAGAGAGAGAGAGAGAGCGAAAGAAAGAGAGAGAGAGAGAGAGAGAGAGAGAGAGAGAGAGAGAGAGAGAGAGAGAGAGCGAAAGAAAAAGAGAGAGATAGAGAGAGACAGA